AACTCTCTGAGCCACAGTTTCTTCATCTGTACAGTAGTGAAGGCAATGGTACCAGCTCATAGGGTTGTTTTGATGATTAAGATAATTTATACAAAGTTGCATAGCAGAGTGCCTCACAAAACGCATAGATATTGTTAGCTCAGTGTATCCCAGCTTTTAGCATAGAGCCAGCCATAGAGTGGGTGCTCAGTGAATATGTGTTGAAAGAATAATGCAATAGCTAAATACTCTATAAGAAAATGACTCCATTCCTGATAGCAGATGGATCACTTAACATCCTAGCACCTATCTCCATACAAATCCTTCCTCATTATCATTGGTTCTAATTTTCGAATCCGTGTTAAGACATTAGTCCCAAGTCCCTTGCTTTTAGGCACTAAGATGTGGTGATCTTCGTTTTTACAGATAAGGCAGCTGAGGCCTGGGGAGATTATGATTCTGCTGAGTTCACACAGCTAATTAATAGCAAAGTGCAGGATAAGAACCTAGGTTCCTGATTTTTTTCTCCTACTACCGGATGCTACTGTTTTCTGCTGGCCAAGTGGTAATTGAGAGCTTCCTGGAAAGCAGCACTTAGCCTAAGGAGCAGAGAGCAACATCTACAAAAAAATACAAAAAAACTAGCCGGGGGAGGTGGCGGGCGCCTGTAGTCCCAGTTACTCGGGAGGCTGAGGCAGAAGAATGGCGTAAACCCGGGAGGTGGAGCTTGCAGTGAGCTGAGATCCAGCCACTGCACTCCAGCCTGGGTGACAGAGCGAGACACCGTCTCAAAAAAAAAAAAAAAAAAAAAAAAAAAAAACAAACAAACAAACAAACAAAAAAAACAGTTACCATTGGAGTCATTTTAATGTAGTTTAGAATATTTGACTGTTGAGTTATTCATTCAGCAAATTTTCATTGAGTACTTAACACTATTAGAAGCTGGGAAACAATGAAGAATAGTAACATACATGGAACTTGCTGTCTAGGGAAGTGAATGGTATTAATGAAAAACTCTCACAAACAAGTGTAATAACTTGTGGTAAGTGTTAGAAGTAAGAGGAATATATTGATATAAGAGCCTATGCTTAGTGGATTGACCTGTCAGGAGGCCATGGGCAGTTTCTGTGAGGAAATATGGATTGAACTGAAATCTAAAGAGACAAGCAGGGGTTAACTAGATGAAGAGGTGGGGGGTAGCATCTGAGACAGAGTGAACAGCATGTGTAAAGGCTACATAGTGGATAAACCATGTGTCACTTGAGGAATTGAGAAAAAGTCAGTGTGTTTAGAATATAAGGAGAGGGGCAGAGAAATGGATCTGGTACAGGAGAATCAGTGGGACCTGGTAAGAAACAGAAAAGGGGCTGCACCAAATGGTTGACATGCTTTGCAAACTTCTTTTGTTGGCTCAAGTTGTGCCTCAAGAGGTAAGAAGGTAAGGCCAGACTTATTTGTTATGATTTGCCCTTTAGATTGAAGCCTTAAGGTTATCTTTCACATTGATCAAGCCAACAAAAATAGGTCATAAGGAGGAGTGATTGAACTGCGGATTTGCTTACTATATATTTTTTTTCTACCAGGCAAGACACCTTCATGGAAAATTATTTTACTAGCCAACGGGACAACATCTTCCGAAATGTGGAGGTTCTGATTTATGTTTTTGATGTGGAGAGCCGCGAACTGGAAAAGGACATGCACTATTACCAATCATGCCTGGAGGCCATTCTGCAGAACTCTCCAGATGCCAAAATATTTTGCTTGGTACACAAAATGGATCTGGTACAGGAGGATCAACGGGACCTGGTAAGAAACAGAAAAAGTGCTACACCAAATGCTTGACATGCTTTGCAAACTTATTTTGTAGAGGTATAGGTTAATTTGTACCATTTTTTTCAGGAATAAAAGGTCAGCAGAAGTTTTCAAAGTAAAGTTTTGTCATTTGCTTTAACAAAACACTCTTTTAAACACATTTTCAATGATAAGGGAAAGATATTATTTATTAGTAAATAATTTTCAGAATTAGGCAAGAAATCTGTCCAAGTGATCTCACTAAGCAGCATTTATTTATTTTTAAAATATATTTGCTGCCCCAGTTTTATTGTCCTTCAAAGCAGGGAGGTAGTGTCAAGGTTAAGACCCACTAGAAGTGAGATGAAGAGAGGTTGCTGATTTCATTAGATTGACTTAGGAAACTGGTATATACCAGTTCAAGTGCCAACCACAGTGTGTTAGGCACTATGCCAGGTCCCTCATAATTGCACTGATATAGTAAATTTCTCTTTCTGACGTGGGAGTTAGTACACACAAATTTAAACCAGAGAAGGCACAGTAGCAGGTGACGTCACCAAGATAGTGGAGTAGGAGATAACCAGTCTTCATTCCCCTACAAAAAAACAAATATAGATAGCTATCCACAAACCAAAATAGCCCCGAGAAGGCTCAAAGGCCCATTATAGAAAGACATAGTAAAATGGGTAAACTCCTGCTTAGCTGTGAGACTACAGGATTGGCAAGTCATATAGTCTAGCTTCAATATAGTCTGTCTAGTTTGCTCAATATAAAATAAGAGGATTGGATTTTAAGGTCTATGCTGAAAGAGAAGATCCTTCTCTATTTCTAAGGGTATGAAACTAAGGAAAGCAGTTTTGGGATATGCTGGTCATATAGAGGAATACAGTTACTCTTTGAGTTGGAGTATAAGAATCTAAGGAAATCCTTTAATGAAAGGATGTTTTGGTAATTGCTCTGGTAAGGAATACTTCTTTATATGACTAGTTACAGGATTGCCTCCACTGTTTTAGTGTTTTGATATTTATAGGTTAGCTTATAGGCTTTCAAAACCATTTGAAGGGTTCCATATTTGACTCAGAAAACTGCTTTTGATTATTTAGTAGTCTTTTTAGTTCTTCCTCAACTTCTGTCATTAAGTATTAATTACTATTTAATACCTAATAATTAATATGGTTTTAATTGAGCATAAAATCATGTGTGTAACTTGGGTCTTGAGTTTGTGAGGGCCTTGTTACTGCGCTTGCTGTTTTGTTCTTGTTTGCTTTTAAAAATCACTTTATTTCCTAGCCAAAATTGCAGTAGAAAAACTTACAGCATTCCAATAAATGAGCTCCTTTAAACATTTAGAAGTGTTTTATTCACTTGTAATTTTGTGTTTTTTTAGTATTTTTATTTATTTTATTATTTCAGTAGCTTTGTGGTTATGTGTGGTTTTTGGTTACATGGATGAATTGTACTATGGTCAAGTCTGGGCTTTTAGTGCATTCATCACTTGAATAGTGTACATTATACCCAGTAGATAATTTTTCTTCCCTCACCCCCCACAACCTCCCCGTTTCTGTGTCTCCAGTGTCCATTATACCACTCTGTATGCCTTTGTGTACCCATAGCTTAGCTCCCACTTACAAGCGAGAATGTGCAGTATTTGGTTTTCCATTCCTGAGTTATAAACAAGAGATAGTTTGACTTCCTTTTTTCAATTTGGATCACCTCTATTTCTTTCTCTTGCCTGATTGCTCTGGCTAGAACTTCTAGTACTATGTTGAGTAGAAGTGGTGAAAGTGAGTATAATTGTCTTTTTCCAGTTCTTAAGGGGAATGCTTTAAACTTTCCTCCATTCATTTTGATGTTGGCTGTGGGTTTCTCATAAAATGCTCTTAATATTTTGAGGTATGTTTCTTCTGTACCTAGTTTGTTGGAGGTTTTTTATCATAAAGGGATGCTCTGTTTTATTGAATGCTTTTTCTGCATCTATTAAGATGACCATATGGTTTTTGTTTCTAATTCTGTTTATATAGTGAATCACATTTATTGACTTGTGTATATTGAACCATGCTTGCATCCCTGGGATGAAACCGACTTGATCTTGGTGAATGATCTCTTTGATGTGCTGGTAGATTAGGTTTGCTAATATTTAGTTGAAGATTTTTGCATTTATGTTCATTGAGTATATTGATTTGTAGCTTTCTTTTTTTATGTCCTTTTGTGGCTTTGGTATCAGGATGACACTGGCTTTGTAGAATGAGTTAAGGAGGATTCCCTTATTGTCAATCTTTTGGGGCAATTTCAGTTGGATTGGCATCAGTTCTTTGTCTCATAGAATTTAGCTGTGAATCCATCTGGTCCTGGGTGTTTCGTTTGTTTGTTTGTTTTGTTTTGATTTTTTGGTTGGGAGATTTTGGGCTTGTTTTTTTTTTTTAACTGATTCAGTCTCACTAATTGTTAGTGCTCTGTTCAGGATTTCTATTTTTTTTTTTTTTTTTTTTCCTGATTCAAGCTTGTGTGGTTGTGTATTTCCAAGAATTTATCCATTTCCTCTAGATTTTGTACTTTGAGTGCATAGAAGTGTTCATAGTAGTCTCAGTCATCCTTTGTATTTCTGTGTTATCAGTATGATGTTTCCATTTTCATTTCTGATAGAGCTTATTTGAATCTTCTTTTCTTTATGTAGCTAGTGGTTTATTAATTTAGTTTATCTTTTTTTTTTTTTTTTTTTTTTTTTTTAGAGACAAGTGAACATTTATTTGTATGCCTTTCTTCCTATGTGTATTTCAGGTCTTTTTCAAAACAAGGCCCTAGGACTCTCCAGATTCAATTATGTCCTTGGGCTTGGTCAACTGCTGCAGGAGTCTTAGGGAGCCTTGTACAAATGCTAGAGTGACTCATTTACCAACATTAAACCCTAAGATAGATGCAACAAAGCAGGACTCCTTCCTCCACGGAATGTGCTGATTTCAGACGATGCAGTACCCAATGTAGAAAACACTGGAATTTTTCTTTGGAACTGGAGTGTGATGAGAGATGCTTGCCATGAACATGAACATAAGCTACTGTCTTTTCTTTTCTTTGAGACAGAGTTTCGCTTGTTGCCCAGGCTAGAGTGCAAGGGCGTGATCTCGGCTCACCGCAACCTCCGCCTGGCAAGTCTCCTGCCTCAGCCTCCTGAGTAGCTGGGATTACAGGCATATGCCACCATGCCCGGCTAATTTTTGTATTTTTACTAGAGACGGCATTTCTTCATGTTGGTCGGGCTGGTCTCGAACCCCCAACCTCAGGTGATCTGCCCGCCTCAGCCTCCCAAAGTGTTGGGATTACAGGCGTGAGCCATCACGCCTGGCCAGCTACTGTCTTTTCTTTGACCCTTCCTTTCCAGTTTTTGAAGATAAAGCAGGAAATAATCTTCTCTGAAGATACTTGATAAAAATTCCCAAAACAATTAAACACATGCTTCCACTTCATTGATAAAAATTTACCGCAGTTTGATACCTGGGTCTAGTTCAGCTGGCAGATGAGCTGATTGATGCGTTCACCCCGATAGCCAGGTGTGCCCATCTCCTTGAGGAAGCCCACTCTATTTTTGGTAGCATGTCGGGCCACTGAGAGGTGGAAAGGGCGCAAGAACCATGAGATCTCCTGGAAATGCTTCCCTGGGAAGGCAATTTCATGAATGAGATCTTCCAAGCAAATGACGCCAAACTTCCCCAGGTGCTCCTCAATCACTGTGTTGTCTGGCAGAAATGGTCTTATTCTTGACCTTGGCTTGTCCACGTTTCAAAATGAGTTCTCGGACAGACTTCAGATTTGGAAATCCCCAGGTCACATAAGGTTCCACTATACGCAGCATTTTTAGGTTCTGGGGGGTGACTTTTACAAAGACACCACTAAAAATTTTCTTTAGGCGAAGTCTTGTAATGGTTCTCTGCACCAATAAACTCACGCCATCAATCCTTTCGATGCGTACAACAAAGGCCAAGGAATGTTTGTCTGGCAATTCCAAGGCATGAGGTTTCACTTCTAGTCGTCTGAGACGCACCTTGTCACGTTTCTGCCGCCAGGAATCATGTAGGAATGATTCCAGTCGCTTAAACCTGAGCCCTTTTCCTTTCCTCTGCTCCTTCTTTGCCAAAAGTGCCTGCTTTGCCTGGGTGGCTTTGAGGGCTTGATAAGCCTTCCTCTTTTTCAGCAGATTTTCTGGAACCAAAGGGATTTTTCTTTGCTCTTCCTCCGCCATCTTTCTAGTGGTGCAGCTACTGATCATGCGCCTAGTTTATCTTTTCAAAGAACCAACTTTTTGTTTCATTGACTATTGTATTTTTTAAATTTATTTTCAGTTTTCTTGAGTTCTACTCTAACCTTTGTTATTTCTTATTTCTTTTCTTCTGCTAGCTTTGGGTTTGGCTTGTTCTTGTTTCTCCAGTTCATTGAGGTGTGATGTTAGGTTGTAAATTTGTGATCTTTTTGTCCTTTTGATGTAGGCATTTAGTGCAATAAACTTTGATCTTAGCACTGCTTTTGCTATATCCCAGAAATTTTGATAACTTGTGTCAGTATTTTCACTCATTTCAAAAACATTTTTAATCTCCATCTTGATTTTATTTTTGACCCAAAGATCATTCAAGAGTAGACTGTTTAATTTCCATATATTTGTATGGTTTTGAGAGTTCCTCTTGGAAATGATTTATGGTTTTATTCTGCTTTGGGTTGATTCGATACTTGATATGATTTTGATTTTTTAAAATTTATTAAGTCTTGTTTTGTGGCCTGGCATATGGTCTATCTTGAAAAAGTTCCATGTGCTGACAATAAGAATGTCTATTCTGCAGTGTTTCGATAGAATTTTCTGTAAATGTCTGTTAAATCCACTTGTTCTAGAGTCCAGTTTAAGTCCAGTGTTTGTTTGTTGACTTTCCGTCACAATGATCTATCCAGTGCTGTCCATGGGGTGTTGTAGTCCTCCACTATAATTGTATTGCTTTCTATCTCTTTTTCTTAGGTATAGTAGTTTCTGTTTTATTAATCTGGGAGCTCTGGAGTTAGGCGTGCATATATTTTGGATTGTAATATCTTCTTGTTGAATTGATTTCTTTATCATTGTATAATGACATTTTTTGTCTTTTTTACTGTTGTTGATTTAAAGTCTGTTTTATCTAAGAATAGTTATTCCCACTCACTTTTGGTTTCCATTAACATGGAATATTTTTCCTCCCCATTTACCTTAAGTCTATAAGCATCTTTACAAGTTAACTGGGTATCTTGCAGACAGCAGATATTTGGTTTGTGTTTTTTTCCATTCTGTCCATCTGTATCTTTGGCACATTTAGACCATTTACATTCAATGTTAATATTGACATGTGATGTACTGTTGCAGTCATCGTGCTGCTACCTAGTTGCTTGATTTTCTTCAATGTGTTACAGTTTTATAAGTCCTGTGAAATTTTTGCATTCAAGTGTTTTCATACTGGTGCATATGATCTTTCATTTTGATATTTAGAACTCCTTTTGCATTTCTTATAGTTCTGGTCTAGTGGAGACAAATTCCATCAGCATTTGCTTGTCTGGGAGAGACTTCTTTTCTCTTTCATTTATGAAAATTGGTTTTGATAGATACAGAATTCTTGGCTGACAGTTATTCCATTTGAGGAGACTTAAAGATAGGACTCAATCCCTTTTGGCTTGTAAGATTTCTGCTGAGAAGTCTGCTGTTAGTCTGATAGGTTTCTCCTTTATAAGTTATCCAATACTTTTGTCTCACTCTTCTTAGATTTCTTTCCTTCATGTTGACTTTAGATAGCCTGATGATTTGGTAATGTCCTTTTTATAATGAATCTGCTGTGAGTTCTTTGAGCTGCTTGTATTTGGATGTCTAAATTTCTAGCAAGACCAGGAAAATTTTCCTCAAATATTTCCTCAAATGGGTTTTCCAAGTTTTTTGCTTTTTCTTCTCCCTCAGGAACACCTGTGATTCTTAGATTTGGATGTTTTATACCTAAACCCATATTTACTGGAGACTTTGTTCATTTCTTTTAATTCCTTTTTAAAAATTTTTATCTGATTGTGTTAATTTGAAAGCCTTGTCTTCAAGCTCTGAAATTCTTCTTCTACTTGGTCCAGTTATTTCTTTATGTTGGTTTTTAACTTTCTCTTAGATATCATTTAGCAACCTAATAATTAACATTTTGAATTCTTTATCTGATATTTCAAATATTTCATTTTGGTTTGGATCCATCACTGGAGAGTTCATGTGATCTTTTTGGGGGTGTTGTAGAACTCTGTTTTTGCACGTTGCCAGAATCATTTTTCTGGTTCCTTCTCATTTGGGTAGATAATTTCCTCTTATTATTTTTAAATTTATTTCTGATTTTACTGGGTTTTTAAATTTTTTTCTCCCCTTGAGGATGTGACTTTAATGGGTGTAGTGTATGGTCACCTAGCTTTGGCTCTGGGTGCTTTCAGTGTCAAAGACTGTGTATGAGCTCTTTGGTTGTACAGAATCTTTGTGCAATGGCTTTCTTAGCTGCTGGTTATAGTAGCAGTGTGCTGGGTGTGTGAGAAGGCTTACTGTCTCCTATGGGCCAGTATGGCAGAGGTCTCATGAAGCTTATCTCATTTCCCCATGGTATACATTTTGTTATTTTTGTGAGAAGTATACTGGGGAAAAAAATAACAAAGTGCATACCACTGGGGAATGAGATAAGCTTCATGAGACCTCTGCCATTGAATAGTTCAGCCTTCATGCTAGTACAGGCACCCACAGGTGAAAACCAGCTGCAGCTGAAGCAGGTGGGTATATGCAGTACCCCGTTTGTGGGCAGAAGGCCCAGCCTTGACTGAGCTGGCTGGGGGAGCTCTCTGAAATGTACTGAGGTCTTTGCAAGGGGACAGAAGGGAGCCATCTCAGCTCCTCTCCCAGGCCAGCAAGAAAGCCATCTGCTTCCCCATCATGCCCTTGTCCCAGTGTTCTGGATATTCAGATCAGACAAGCACCTCTGTCCATCTGCAGGAATGCTGACATTCCGTGTAAAGAGGAATTGTGACTTTACTTCTTATGCAAGCCTGAACCCAGAAGGCACTCCTCTTGTGGAGATGTAGTCACCCTGAAGTGCTCCAGAAAGACTGTCTATAGGCACACTCATGCTGAGTTCCTGGAAGAGAAGCCCCACCTGTATCTGCAAGTGCTGGGCAAGGGGGAGAAGTTTCCTTCTCTAGGTCCCTTCGTGAGCCCTGGAGCTGCCTGACTGCTGGGGTAGAACTGCAGTTTTTCACCACTGAGCATGGCCTTGCACCTGTGCCTCTGCTGAAGGAAACTTCCCACAAGTGGAAACTTCTGGGACTCAAGGCCTGCAGTCTGGTTTCTTTTGTCCCACAGGGTGCTCCCTTGATGTGGTGCACTCCCTGCTCCCATAGGTGTGGCAGTCCCTGAGGGCCAGACTGCTGTGAATCCTGCTGCTCATCTGGTCTAGCCACCTTGTGGGGCTTCCACACTCTAAGCTGTTGCTGGGGGAATATGTGCAAAGCATCCAGTGATGTGAAGACACAAGGATTGAAGGTCCCTGAGCAAAACAAAGTCTCACAATGGGTGCACATCCAGCATGGCACCCACTGCTATAGCTCAGGTCCAGAGGGAAAGTGAAGGGACCTTGTGTTAGCAAGGTAATGCCCTTGAGGAGTCCCTAAATCACAGCTTACTCTGGTACTTGTGCTCACAAGTGCAGAGAAGCCCTCTTTGAGCTTGGATACCAGCAGTCTGCTGCAAGGGCCAGAGAGGCCAAGAGCACTCCCATCTCCCCTGTCCACAGATTACTAAGTTTCTCAGGGTTTGATCTCTGCCAGCTTCTTGTTACTTTCTTTTTTCTTTTTTGGTGTGTCACAGATTCTTCCAGTGAACTCTCTGATAAGCTCCAGCACTCTCCGCTTAACATTCAGTTTGGGCTACGATTATTCACCTGTAATTTTCGTTCTTCCTTCTGAGGAGAATTGGTCACTGATGCTTCTTATCAGCCAAGTGGAGAAGCTGTCTGATGCCTCAGGCTGTGGACAGGTCTGCAGGATGTGCAGTGGCTTAGGCTCTGCTCTGAGCTTCAGAGGGGGACAGTGTTGGGTGGATCTGGACCAAGCTGCCCTGCCCTCTGGTCTCCCAGCAGCAGGTGTAAGCACAAGCTCTGATAAGGGTAGCAGGGGAATGACATAGACTCTGAAAGATTTCCCTGGCTAAAAATAGCATTACTGTGATGGCTTTCTCAAATCCCAGCTATAGTAGTAATGTACTGGGCAGATGAATAGGCTCAAGACCTCCTGATTAGCTGGGATGGTGTAGGTAAATGATGTTAGCTGAGGTCATGCAGACGTTTTCTCCTTCTCAAGTGGTGTGTTGTTGTGTCAGCAGATGTTGTAATGGGCTGCACCAATTGGTCTCTAGCCAGGAGGTGGTGTTTGCAGGAGAGAGCCAATTGCTATGGTGGCCATGGCATTTGTGCCTGGCTTATCATACCCAGGGGAAGTACTTGTGTCTCAGGCGATGGGCAAGGCCATGAAACTCCCAAAAGTCCCTGTCTGTTGTGTTATGCTACCAAGGCAGGTGGAGGGGCAAACCCAGGTTTGGGCTGGGTCAAACAGATTTGCATTCTGGCTCCTCATATGTAAGCACAAGCAGTGGTCCCAATGGGGCTTGGAGGGCAGTTCCCTGGCCACTAGGGTAATGTTCCAGGGAGAAGCACAACTGACTCTGCTGCACAAAAGAATCCACATTGGGAGAAGGAGTAGCAGGTGTCAGTGAGACCCACCCAACTCCCACACTCTTGACAAGGTGGGTCTCACACCCACAGTCTTCTGCTGGCAACGGCTAGCTGGGTCCCAGGCAGTCTGTGTTCAGAATGCAAAACTGCCCCAGGCCATAAGCCTTCCTGCTGCCTGAGACAGAAACCACGCCTTTCAGGCCTCACTTCTCCCTGTTTGTTCACAAAGCTGGGACACTTGGCTGCTGTTCCTGTGGCAAGAGCATACTTCCCACTCACCCCTCAGTTCTGGCCAAGGGAGTTTGTCCCCACTGGAGAGATTAGAGTGCAAATCTCAGTTGGGAGCTTCTCGCATCCTGTGACCACTGCCTGAGTTAGCTGTAAGGTTCCTCTATCAGGAATGGTTTCCTTCTGTCCCCACTGGGGTTTCAGGGTACATGCAAAGTACTACTGTTTTTCATATACTTGCCACTGCTCACCAGATCAACTCCAGTGCTGGGTAGGGTTAAGGTGCTCCCCTGTGGCCTGGCTTGCTCAACTC